AACTCTGCCAAGCACCACGATTGCTCCAACAGCAAGAGGGTAGTCTGCAAGAAGCAAGAAACTAGGGTGGACACCAGAGACACCAGAGGCAGGAGAGGGCAGTGTGTGCTCCGTGCACATCATATGAGTGCAGTGATGGGGCTCTCCTGGCCCTGTGTGCCCTGCAGCAGCACTTGGTTCAGTAGGCCCTGCTGATCAAGGCAGGCACAGAAATGCTTACACATCTTAGATAGCATCCCAGTGCAGCAGTGGGGTTGGAGTAATACACTCAGGAAATCCTGTCACAGAAAACACTGCCTTATTTGATGATACCGGCACCATGAAGCATCATGCTCTCCAGTAGCACTGCCTGCAATGATGAAAATTTTTCTCAGTATTCTCTGTCCAGCAGAGCAGTCATCAACCACATGTGGCTACTGAGCACTTAAAAAGTGGCTAGTGTGACTGAGGGCATTTCAATTCGTCTATGTTTAGAATTCAAGAACCTTAATTATGTGAATTTAAGTGAGATTTAGTAAATTTAGATTTCATAAAAACTTAATGTATCTAAATATAAATGGCCTCCAAGGGCTAGTGACTGTGTCACTGGAGAGTCGATTTCTGTGATGGACAAGCAAGTTTGGCTTAGAGGATAAGATATACAGGCTTTGGGGTCCCACAGGTCAGCCTTTCAGCCCTGCATTGCTGACTCTGTGACCTTGGATAGGTCACATTCCCTGGGCTTGAACTTCTTCTTCAGAAAATGGGAATCAGAGCGCTTACGTTTAGGGCAGTTGCAAGTACAAGAAATAAAGCACGCAGACTACTGAGCACAGACTAAGCATTCCCTAAGTGGTAGCTACTACACCAGGGGATGGTCAGTACTCGGGAGGATAATTCAGTCCTTTCCATTCCTCTGTTCATCAGCCCAAACATGCAACCAGCTGTGAAACAGGCAACAGAAATAACCCTGGGGGCTGTTGCGGAGTGAGTGGCCTCTCAGTCCACTGACAATGCCTTTTTTATTGGGGATTCTCTTATCTGGGCCATGCTGGGAGCTGCCCTTTTTCCTTCAGTGGGATTGCTTCTGGCGAATTATCCCTCCTCTCCTAAGGTGCATTCCTGGCCACCCTGCTTCTCCCATAACCCAGGAACAACTGGAGGCAGTTAAAGAGAAAAGACAAATGGAGCTTGTTCAATCAGTAACTTCAATTTTACATACAATTCTAAGTCAACAGTGTCTGTGCTGTGCACTGTGGTTTCCCAACTCTTTCTCTGTGGAATGAAGAGGACAGATTCACAGATTGTCTTCCACCTCCATTCTGACCAATCCTCAAGATCTCTTGGAAACAACTTTGGAAAACAGAGATGCCTGTGTCTCCCCCGACAAACCCCCACCCAGTCTGGAGACTGGGCATGGTTGGGAGCACTCCCAGTGATTAGTGTCATACTTTGAAAATCATTGGCTTAGATGTTAATTCCAGGTCAGTTCTGGGCAGATAGGGTTGTGTCACCCAGGTTAGCTGAGAGACTGCTGTGTTACTCTTAGGCAAGGGTGTGGGTCCCAATGTTCCATGGATATTGTACCTTCAAAATAGCATGGATATTGGTACCTACAAATATCAATCCAGATACTTGGAAGAAATTTTCCCTGGGGAAATCATAATCATTTGAACAAGTGCTAGTCAGAGATGGACCTGGATTCCAGACTCGTTTTCCTTTTTCTTTTTCCCCTCTCGTAATCTTCAATGTCACGTTTCCAGAGATGACTCACTTCCTGTACCCTCCTTCCGTGGACCTTGCATCTGTTTCTGATGTGTTGTTCCTCAGCTTAGGGGCTTTCGCACATTTGAAATTTCACTAATTTTGTACAAGACTTTCTCCACCCGGAGAAAAATCAATGAAAACACTGAATGTACATTTGCTCAATATCGCCTTTTTTTTTTTTTTTTAAGCAACCACTCATACAATTAGAGGCCTAGAGGTAATACTGTCCCTTCAGATGCTTGGGTCTACTCTTAGACTAGGAATACCTGTACTCCCACAGTTCATAGTGACCTGAGACAATGGGTAAGCAACATGGTGATTAGTGTGTGGATGCTTGTTTGAGTACTAGTCAACTATTGTTACATACTTCTGGAGATAAAAATCTCTGTGAAACAATAGAATTCCAAGCATAGACCAATGGCCCACTTCTGAGCAGCACTCGGCTGTAAAATTCGGTTCAACAAACTCATTTCCACAGTCTCAAAAATCTGTTGCAGGTCTTAAAATTTTTAGTCTTAGCAAAAAGAAAAGTCCTATTCCAGCAAGTATCTGGGGTTATGAAACATGTCTTATTGGAGTAATTGATAAGAAAAAAATTGACGGGGAATTTTGCGTTTTGATGTTATATTGTTTTCTCTCTGGTTCTCTGACCACACGGTTTACTGGGTTTTGGCATTGGTGAGGAAGTGGGGATATTCAATCTACATTGGGAATGAGTAATACTCTACATGAGAACCTGAATCCTACCAACAGTTAGGACTTCTTACTAAATGACCTTCTTAGCCTACACTTTATTATCGGAAAGTAATTAAAGCAATAGAAAAGCTGGAACTCTCTGGTTATATTCCCAATGATCAAATCCTGGACCATAGAGAAATCTCCTATGACTTTATAAATAAACAATTTGAAAAGAAATCTAACTCAAAATACTGTACACAAGCAAGACAACTTAGGGGGCTGGTATTACGGTGCAGCAGATTGAACTGCTGTTTGCAATGCCAGCAACCTGTATCTGGGCTCCGGTGTCAGTCCCAGCTACACTGCTTCTGATCTGGCTCCTGGCTCATGTGCCTGAGAAGGCAGCGAATGACGGCTCAAGTATGAGCACACCTGTCATCCACATGGGAGACAGGGATAGAGTTCTGGGCTCCTGCTTTGTCCTGGCTCAGCCCCAGCTGTGACAGCCATTTGGGGAGTGAACCAGTGGACGGAAGTGCGCTCTCTCTCTCTCTCTCTCTGTCTTTTCTCTTGCTCTCTCTCGTAGGTCACTTCACCTTTCCAATAAACACACAAATAAATAAATCATTCTTAAACAAAGACATCATATTGATTTCAGCAGGGACTCTGTCAGGTTTACTTCTGGTTTGCTTGGCTTCCCTCGAGGGCACCCTCCAGCTGCTGCAGGCTTATACTAGCTTGGGCTGAGCAGTGTGTCCGTACTAGTCTGGAAATAGGACCCCCATTTTCCTGAGGACTCATATATCCTTCTCACCCCTGTCTTTGTGCCCAGGGGTTGACATGCATTCTGATTGGCTGGCCTCCTCACATGCCACAAGCAAGCCGAAGTTCTATGTTCCAGTCCCACCCAATGGGAGGGAGCATTCCCAAAAGGAAGAGGATGAGGTAATGTTTTCTTGTGTGTGTGTGTGTGTGTGTGTGTGTGTGGTGTGTTTTAAGCCCCACTTTGACGGAGAGAAGCTGGTTCCATTTGCTAGGGAACTGATGAAAACTAACCGTTTTCTATTGTTAAATGACTCTTGGAGTTACTGGAGATCACAGCATATCTGTCGCTCCCCCTCTTCACGGAGGAATGACACTAAACCCTGCCTAGGCTTCATATCCGAGTCACGGCACCATTATGTCGCTCCCCCTCTTCGTGGAGGAACGACACAGGACCCTGCGCTGTTCTTTCGTCTGCTCGGCCCTCCCCGGGTTTGCTGCTGGTTCTTCCCGGGTTGGCTACTATCCCTTCCACCTCCGTGGAAGGGCAGTTCCCCCTGGCCACATTCCCCACTTCCGCAGGGGAGCGGCACACCGCCGGCCGGTTCTCTCGGGGGCTGCACGGGTTCCCTTAGATGTTCCCCATAGATGTTCCTGGTGCATGCCGTCTCTCTCCTCCTTTATAGTCCTCCTCCGCCAATCCCAACTCGGCTGCCCACATGCCGAGTACGCTGCTCTCCTCCAATCAGTAGCAAGTCCTACAGTTTATTGGTTGAACTGGAGGCAGCTGTGCGGAAGCTGTTTACTTCTCTCCCAGCGCCATATTGTGGGAGAGCAGATGCATAGAATAAGTCTTAATTCCAGTAACTCAGTCTAGTCCGGTTTGCTCCCCACACATATCTGTGATCACAAACAATGCATTAGGATACCAAAGGAAACTTGCACTGAAAACGCAGTGTTATGTCGCCTTTTAATGTGGTAATCTTGTAAATGGCCAAAACTCTATTGCAGAGGTCTGACCTTTATTTATTTGATAATTTCTGAATTCAAAAGAAACAGTACTCACAACCATTTAAGTACCTGTATGTGTAGATAGCCTTGTTGAGAAAATGTGGTGTATGCGATTGTATTTCCAATGTTTTCTAAAGTTTAGAGAAAATATTTGCTAAATATTTTTGAGAAGGAATTATGGTGAGTCCCTATTTCACTTAAATCCAGTCATTTTGGTAAAAACGGATTTCATATTTTAGAGCTCCCAGTAGCAAAACTGTGTTTAGTCTTCCTAAAGCAAGATAGCCTCCCTGAAGAAAACCAACCAAGTTATTAAGCAAATAGTTTTTAAAAATTCTAAACGTGTTAAGGAAATATTATGACATGACTAGTGATGCACTCCATTTACTTAATTTGAAACATCAGCTGGCCCACAGTCTAAGGGCAGTACATCAGGCCTGAGGATTACTATTTTATTCTATTCTACACAAACATGTAGAAAACACTTCCAGAAACGCAGCCTATAAATAATATTGCAATAGTCCATTTAAGTATTTGAAAGTTAGCAAACCGAGAATGGTGCCCAGAGCCACAATGGTCGGTATGGGTTGGCTACCAAGTGGATTATCACACTGAGGACACAAACTCCAGGTCGCGAGAGTCACGCGGCCTGAACTGGGGTCCTAGGCTCTGATCTAGGGGAGCCTTCACCTGGGGGCAGGTGCGGGAAGGCGGTAGGGGTGGCGGGACGGGGCTTGGGCGGGGCAGGTGAGACGGGGCGGGGCAGGAGCGGGGCGGGGCGTTGGAGGGGCGTGTCCCCTTCGGTCAGGGACACGCGCTCTCGGTCGCAGCAACTCCCTGCAAGTTCCCTCCCTCGCTCTCCGGCGGAGCCTGCCGGAGCCCTCCCACTCGGTGCAGACCGAACCATCGCGGCCACCGCCAGCAGCTGGGCCCTACGCGGCCGCGCGTCCTGGGCCGGCTTGGCCAACCCTCCCTGCTCCTTGCCCGCAGCCCCACGGCGGCGTTGGCGGCGGTGAGGACTCGGCGGCCCCAGCAGCCCGCCCTCGGCCCTCGGTCCTTCTCGGGCCCAGACCGTCCCTCCTCGCCGTCTCTGGAAGCCTGACCGCCGGCTTGGCCCGCGCCGCCCCGAGCCAGGGAGCACGGCCGAGGTAAGACTGGGGGTCAGAGTGCTGCTGCAGGTTCGGGGTCCGGGTCTGGTGGCCGCGCTGCGCTCCGTCAGTGGACAATGCCTAAGCCGCGCGCGGGCGGAGCGAAGCCGGATCTGCTCCTGCAGCCTTCCCGCCCTGCCATCATCTCCGTCTAGCCCGGCATGGGGGCTTCGCTGGCCCTGACGGACCGGGCCGGGGTTCCGGGGAGGCGGGGGCGCCCTGCCCGCCCTGAGCTCCGGGCCGGGCGAAGCCGACTGCGCTGCGTAGCCGGGCTGGGCCCCGGAGGCGCGCCGGCGGGTGTCTGTGGAGGAGTGGGTCGGCGAGGCACCGGGGCTCTCCTCCGCCACCGCTGCTTGCCCCATCTCTGATTTCCGTGCCAAATACTTTGGAAATACCAGTATCTCCTCATCCCTGGCTGGGAGTGAACTGCAAGGTATGCAGATTCCATGGCTCTGAAAGTTTGTTTGGGGTTATCCCCTCCAGTGGCTCCCTCGCTTGTACTTTCTTTGAAAGCATACAGATTTGAAATATAATTAAATTACCCTTGGCTCACGCTTATCCCCATCCCCCGGCGGAGCTCACAATTTGGCAACAAAGCGCATGCCAGCTGTGGGAGCCCGGTGGCTGCCCTGCCCGGCCTGGTGCCCTCCTATTGTCGTGAGATCCGGAGCTGCACTGTGTAAATGGCAGTGACAAGTCTCCTAAGCTGGCTTGAGGAGAAGATAACTTGATGCGTGCTTAAATTACTCTGGACAGTGGAAAGAAAGCACCTGGTGCTGGGCTAGTTAACCCTTTCAAGACGTGACTCGGATTTGCTAAGACACTCGCACACAAACATGAGGCTTTCTTTGCTGCCTAAGATACCGATAAACTCTGCGGGTTTTCTTCACAGCCAAGTTATGTCCCGTGCAGAATCTGGCACACATCTGTGACAACATCGCATGGCTGGCGTTGTAAGGACTGCACACTGGTTTATTTTTGAAGAGGAGAGTATGATTGTAGAACAAGCATTTTTGCAATATGTTTAGAGTCATTCCCTGGAATAGAACCTCTACCAATTTATTGTCCTCATTTTTTGCCATTGCAACTTGTGGTCATTCAGATGTGCTCTTTCATAAGTATAGTTATTTTAACATAAGGGCAGGTTCATGGTAACCTGGAATTCTTCAGTGGTAAAATCTCATGGCTTTGTGCTATGATAGTTGACCTGTGGTATTTCTGGAGGTGGTACACCATGAAGTCACTGACTGAACGGAGAGACGGCAGTGCTCTGCCAATCTGATAATCAATAAAATGCTTAGAGCAGGACCCAACATATAGCCTGAAGTAAGTGTCAGTTAGCATTGTTTTGAATTGTATTATATATAAGTCCATGTGTTTTTTGGTTTGGAAATTGATGGTTTTGGGTTTTTTTTGTTACAGGTCTTTTGGCTCAAGTCTGGTTTAATTTTGGGATGGAATCAGGGGTGGGTGGTGGTTTTACTTGTGCCTGGCAAGCTGCTCTCTATGTTGGTAGGTAAGGGCTGATTTAGAACTTCTCACGTAGTGGCCTGCAAGGACCATAGCTATGAACCCACCCCTGTCCTGGTGCACTTTATAATTAGGAGACCTCAGAATCCTTCACGGGCCTGATTGTCCAAGGAGAGGCCCAGATGTTAGGGAAAATCTAGGGTCTGAGGGTCTGAATCTTGTCCCTGAACTGTGCCCCCCTCTCCCCTACTCTAGGTTGAGAGTAATGATTCCTAGTTGAAAGAACATGTTGGCACAGCAGCGTTAAGTGGGTCCCATTGTGGTAAAAGGTAATTACAGATCGATAGATCTGCTAAAAATACATCAACCAGAGCCTATCAGTCTTATCCATGGTTTATAGTATTTAGAACAGGATTTGTAGTCTAACTGGCCAGGAAAAGAAAAATCAAAATGGTGTGTTTGCTGCCTGTTGGTAAGCAGTGGGTGCTAACTGTTTAGCGATTTTGAAAGACCATCAGGGATCAACTCTCACTTCAAGCTCCTCTCCTCGCTAAACGGTGAAGTGACATCTTTTTCCTTCCTCCATAACTTCCTAGCTAAACAAGGCATGGTGTTAACTGCTGGGGCCTGAGGAACCACAGCTGCTGCAGGCGCCGTGAGGTGGCAGTAGGTGGTGCTGTGGATAATGCTGGTGGACCAGCAGGGATTACTGTAGCAGTCCGGTTGCCTGTGCCTCTCCAGAACCTATTCTTACCACGCAGATTTTTCAGGAATACAGGTTTTGTGCTTTTTGAAAAGTTTTCCCTTTGTATTTTTAACTGTTTTTTTTAGGGTAGTTACCTGGCTGGGCTTTTCCTCTTTGAAAACCATGGTATTGCAGTTAGACAGACAAGCCTTGCAGAAATATTATTTAGGCAACTGTATCCTTGACTTTGATTTTTCTGTATTTGAGTCAGGTTGGTCACTTCCACTTGGAGGACCCCCAATTACCCCAGTCTTAATATTTTAGAGGAGAGAAATAAATAAGGAACCTACTTTCATCTTGAATTTATTTAAGACAACAACTTACTAGGGTCCGGTCTCATGTTTCCCCATTTGTACCGTTTTTTCTGGCTCCTGATATGATGAAATGGGAATTGATATTCAGGATGAAGTCTCAGAAGCGTTGCAGTCATGACTCACACAAGAAAAATATATTCACTCTGTTCAGTGCAAGCACCAAGGCTGGAAAGGACAACAGAAAAAGGGTTTTCTGGCTCATCGTAACACCTGGGCTTGGGGAACTGCCCTGGCTCTGCCACAGCTGCTAGCACTTGATGTGTTCACGTGTCATGTGTTCACTTTACTCCTCCAAGACCCTATAGCTGCCGCTGTCTGTTTTTGCAGGTGAGCTGAGGGGACAGTTTGACACCATACAGCCTGTAAGTAGCAAGGCGCCAGTGCCTTCAGAGCTCCTGGGTCTTCATAGGGTGCGGTTTGAAGGAGCTCCTGCTGTTGCTGTTACTCACTGTCTTCCTTTTGGGCTTGATATTCATGCATCTCAGTAACTCAATGGCATGCTTAGAATTTCAGACATAGCATGTGATCACCCAAGAATCCAGAATAAGAGAACTAGAGCCGTTTTTAATTCCCAGTGGCTACTTCTGAAGACTTCACAGTACCTTGTGGAGGATCACTTGTCTTAGGGAGGTTGAAGAGAGCCATGGCTGGTTTAGTTTCTTTGAACTGTGTAAGCACTACTTCAAATGGCTGAGATTTTGAAGAGGTAAAGAATGTTGCCCTGTTTCTGGCCTCATTGCATAGGTGATCTGGGGACAGTCACAGCTTCTCCTGGACCCACTCATTCTTTCCCCTTGATTAACGTAAGTTCATTCATTTTGGTGACTTAAATATATAACAAGGGACTATGATGCTTAATGAAATATTGGGAAAATTCCCATTCTATATATTCATTTAAAATTTTATTTTGCACATGAAGCAAATCCTAATTTAACTTAAACATGTTGATTCTTTTTTTGGTACTGAAAACAGAAATACAAAAAAGTAGTATTTGCAAATTGTTCAGAGGGAAACACAGATCAAGGCCAACATGTTTATCAAACAAGCTAATCCTAATGTTGATTCAGCACTTTGAAGGGATAAATCATGAGATGGTTGGCATAAAGATTTTGGGGAATAGTTACAGGAAATTTAGTTTTTCTGTTGTTTGTGAATGTCATCCTACGAAAGATTAACTGCAGAGTGAAGATCAAGGCAAGACTTCTCACTGTTAGGAAACCCTTTTTCACCCTGTTAGTAAACCCCCGGACTCCATCTAAGGGACCCTTTTGTGATGTAACCTTAATGAACTTAAATCGTACAATTGCTGATTTTGACACCTGGGTTTTCCTCTTAGAAGAGAAGGGATTCTTATGTTTGAGCCTCATAAGGAGAATGGTGCAGGAACCCAGCATTCAAAGACAGGGCTTGTTTTTGTTTTTGTTTTATTTTTAAGGAAACCTCAGTAGGTGCAAATTACTTCCTTTTCTCTAGTGTGTTTTGTGATAAAAACAGAGCATGGTGAGCATGTGGATGATTCAACAATTTTAAGCTGGTGGTGCGGAAGTTGAAATTTTAAAATTGCGAACACTTTAGAAGAGGTTCAGTGGTAAGTGCCAAAGTGAAAGGAATCAGTATGTCACTTGGGCAGGCAGGTTGCTGGAAGAATCGTAGATTCTGTGGTATGTTTTATACATCACGGCATGATCAAGGGGGCGGTTGAAATTGTGCGGTGCCAGCTGAGGCTTTTGAAAATGCAGTTCACAAGCAAGTGGGAAGGTTCTGAGTGGTCTTCTTGTCATGCAAAGCGTTTTTCCTCTTAAGCACCACTAGAAGTTAGTTTCCGCCCCTGAATTGTCTTTTTCAGGAGGAATCCCAGAGAGGCTTCCAGGTGATCATTCTCCTGAGCGATTTTCTTGTCCCATTAGCTGAGACTTAATATAAAAAAGCAATTATGCGAAAGAATGTAGTTTAGTGATGTTTTCTATTAATAGTATATACAGTGGATATTTATAGAGGACTTTTTATATGCTAGGTACCTGGAATAAACAGTGGCTGTGGAAGACAAGGCCCCTGCCTTTTTTGAGGCTTTATGTTGTGAAATGGAAAAACAGATATATTTTTTAAAAAATGAAAAGATAATTAAAAAAAGTTTTTAAAAATTATTTGTTTACTCATTTTAATTTATTACAAAGACAGACAGATGGACAGAGATTGACAGAGATCTTGCATCTGCTGGTTCACTCTCAAAATGCCCACAACAGCCAGGGCTGAGCCAAGCGGAGGCCAGAACCCAGAAACTCAATCTGGGTTTCCCACATGGGTGGCAGGGACTCAAGTACTTGTGTATTAGTTGGTAGTGGAGCTGGGATGCAAACCAGGTACTCTGATAGACCAAACGCCTGCCCTTAAAGCAGTACGACTCATATTTGGGCTGGATGGTCTGAGAGTCCTCATGGGGAACTTTATTTATTTATTTTAAATATTTATTT